TGAAAATTCCCCACTACATCCGCGGACTCTACGGATGTCTTTGTGTAAGGGATTGCGTCCGATTCCGTTCCTTCTGTAACACATCTGTTTTAAGCCAGAACTTCATCATCTAGCCTTATAAGAAATTGATGGTGAATAGATGTATGCAGCTCCGAATCTGGCTGTCAGACTAAACTTAACTCCAGGTCTAGTTGAAGCTGCTGCGAGGGTTGAGCACCATTCAACAGTCTCATGGTAGCTGCTGATTGGCGCTCATGAGTGCTTGCTTGCAGTACCGAATCTGTTGTGATGGCTGACGCGGGAGGTGTACCAAGGGAGAGCCGGGAGCGTTGTTCAAAAGAGGAGAAGAGCACTGTAATACCTTGACTATATGGTCACCTGATATCCAGCGGTTACTATAAGATTTGTCTGGCCCTTGTACGCGTTGGATGGCCTTTGGACCAAGTCCAGGGTAAATCCCTTTGCTCCCCTGAAATACATGCATTCAGCTCAACTTTTTCTGCTTCTATCCTGTAATAAGACTTGGAATACTGCGTTTCCACCTTGTGTAAACCAATTTTGTTCACACGGTAGTTATCCAGCACAAAGGGTGGACACTAGGATGGAAGTGTTTTAAAGAGGTCTCTGAAAACAATTGTACTTAAAAAATGAAGATGCTTATACATGTAGCTTTTTACACAGAGATTGTGGGGTAAAATTGCAGTATATGGCAGTTGATACACACTTCCGACTCAAGCAAATGTAATCTTGTCTTAATTTGTAGAAACATCTGTTTAAGTAAGTACTGAATGCGCCGCGAATTTCTGAGGCCATTGGTTCGGGTCTGCTTGCTTTGGCCATGCAGGCGGCGCGTGTTGGTGTGGTAGTCAACGCGAAAGGTTTGATTTGTCCTAGTAATGAATACTTTTAGGGGAACATGTCATTCCGGCTAGTCGTCGTCCCGATGGTACATGGAGAAGGGAAATTAAGGTAAAAGCTGGATACATACCACAGGATGAAATGCCTACGTAAGCTAAGTTGAAATAATGTCTACCTTATGCATCCCCTACCTTTTCGTTTGACCTCTTACGCTATTGTTGTCCAGCGATGAGCATTTGATTGAAGCGCAGTCTGTATCGCTGCTCTCTAGAAAAACCCTTATTTCAGTTGCTCATTTGTCAATTCGTTGTTCATCGTTAGAAAGGTGTTTTACACAGTCACTTTGGGACCACTTGTAGATAGTGGTGGGGTGCTCATTTTCATTCTTCTTGTGATTCAGCCTTTGCCTCTAGACGATGAACTATGCGGTTATTGTGACTAATTTGTTCCGCAACTACATCAGTTCATATTTGCGTTCATTATGGATGCATCAACTGGTTAAAATCCATGCCATATGCATCGGTGTTGTCCTTTCAAGAATTCATGTTTTTTATGCGTCAACTTCATTAGTTACCTTCCAAAGTCTGTGGAGCAGATGCGTCAAAAGCGTGATGCGTTTGTCATCCCTGGTTTGTCAAAGGAGGATGCGATTGCCATTACCCAACATCGCAGAGCCGCGGGAGAAGTCACTTCAAATGGCCAGGAACCTACTTCATCCAAGAAGAAGAAGAATAAGTCGAAAGCAAAAATCGATTCGAATGGAGGTGAGGATCATGTTTCGTTTGGCATATATTTTTCACGGCTATACTACTTTATGCAACACTTACTGGCCATTTGGGGAATGTCATTGACAGATTTAATAATCATCTCGAGCGTTATTGTCACTATTGGTCACAATAAATATCTTTTGGTAAAACCCTAATTGTTATTGGCAACAGTAAGACAATAGAATGTTTCATCTGTGATATCCATACCTATAACTTTAGATTACATGCAATATAGGCCGACATTGATCTCGCTCAATTTTTTTGTAATTCCTTAATTGAACCACAGAAGTATGTTATCTCTTGTGGTCGTTTCATTCCTGCAAAGTCGGTGGCTTAAGATTCACAAATTACTAGCAGTACAAACCGTATTGCAAAGAAATTTGTCTTGTCGCTCTTTATTTTCATTTTTGTAAATTTGTACACGTCCATTGAGGCCAAAAGCGTTCGACACATATTATTTTCTGAGCCCTCCGGTTTTACCTCAGCCGGTAGGCCTCAGAAAATGGAGCAGGAGAAGGAAGCAGGGGAATCACCTTTAATAA